GCTGTCTATAAGACAGCCACTGGGGGCGCTTCCGGATTCATAATATACTTTTGGTCCATTATCTGATGTCCTCACGTACCTCCAGTGCCAGATTTTCCCCATAGGAAAGCACTGAATAACATCAGCGCAGGATTTAGGTAAGTGGCTGCAGGGGTTTTAACCCATTCAGCAACATGGGATGGGGCGGGAGGGAGGGGGGCACTGCAGGATCTTTCAGTGCCAGGAAAACTGGTTTGTTTCCCTGGCACTGGAGGGTCCCTTTCAGGATCTAAAATAGTTGCCATATACAAAACAACTAATGAAAGAAAGATAAAATCTAGAGGTTCATGGGAAGGCAGTAGGATGAGGCATACATGTGTAGATAAAAGCAATGCATATCCTGGAATCACTTGTACCTCATATCTTTTCACATTTCTGCTTCTGGAAATTGGAAAGTGGATTATATATGTTTGAAAGATAGCAAAATAATTGAATAAGTACTGAGCGCCAAAAGCTCATGTAAAGTATACAATAAAATTATTTTTTGCAAAGTAACTCAAATTGGTTTTGGAGTGGGGTCACAGAATAACAAATAAGGAAAGAGTAAAATATATGAATACTAATCTACAAGTGTTAGTCATTAAATTATATTCCCAAAAGAGTGTGTTTGAAATTTTCCCACTTGTGTTATAGTCCACTGAGAATTGTGTAATGTGAAAACAGATAACGACAAAGGAGATTCTCTATATTAATATAACACAAGCCCTGTTTTTCTTAAATTAATTGTTGTCTTATACATACATTCTCAGCTCTTAAAATAATATATGGGTATATTAAAAGCTAACTGTTTTATTTTCTTTAAAGCATAGTTGGCACATTTTATGGAAAATTCTGAAGTTGGTTATTGCAGGAAATGACATAGTGAGAAATAAATAAGTTTCACAATGTTAGTTCTATTTACGTAACTTTGCTTCCAGCAACAAAACTTTCCTATCAATAATGATAATTTAGATTTTGATGGTAATTAATCATCTATCATTTCACTATTACTGTAAGTATATGTTTTTTTTTCTGTCATTTTAGTTTATAAAAAATGCTATTTAAAATACTCTTAACTTGATGGGAAAAAGCTTAACATATATTGTAGTGCCTGTAATGTCTTCTATTTGATACTTATTCACTGAATACCAAACTAGAGTGAATAGTACAGACATTTTAAACTGATTTTTGCAAACCAGTTTTCAATTCTCTATAATTCAGGGTTTAGCGATTAAACTGGAAAGTAGCGTTTAAAGTGGAAATATAGTTAACTATACTATCCATTTATTTCACTTTACTGTCTGACTCTGCAAAGACAACATACATTCCATTTGTTCCCATTGGTGATGTTTTTTTGAACAACAAATAAAGCTCTTGACCATGTCTGCACGCTTTTATGCATTGAGTTGCTTGCACGTAATTGGGTGAAGTAATATTTACATAACCGGGTAATGATTTTACCTGTTCTGCTCCTGCCACTAGATTTGTTAATTCAGTTTAGGCTGCATTGCAATTCATCAGAATTTAGGGTAACAGGTAGTTCACCCAAATTCACAATGGCCAACATGTACGTATGCTTCAGGATTGAGAGTTCCGTCCATCAAGCCAATATAAAAGATGATTGATTGGAAAATTGATGATTAATGACTAGTGGACAACCACTAAAGATTTTATTGGCAGATCATATGAGAATCTTATAATAGGGGGCAGAGCTTGGCCACCATCTTAGATGGCTAGATTTTAGAGAGGTTCTGTGGACATTGTGACTAACTTTGTGAAAAAAAGAACTTTAATTCATCATCTCAGCTGCTTAATTTGGACTATTTGTGCATCTGAATCATTGCTCAACATGCAGAAGGAAAAAAAATGGCTAAAATCGCTTCTGCAATGAACATTGAGAGAAATGTGACATGGGTGAGTAAGGGACTGTCAGCCCACCCTCCATCTTTGCAAGGAACATCACAGTTTGTTTCACAGCCAGGAATGATCACAGACCCCACAGGTACTCCTGATGCATCCTCCTGGACCCGGAACATATGTGGGCGTGGTCGCAGTCCGCTTGCATCATTCATTGTGCGGCAGGACTGCGGCCGCGAGAGAGGGGACCGACCAGGTATACACGCTCCGAGCGCTCGGATCGCTTGCTGTCTTCATGGCGTGCAGAGAGCTGTGGCCACATGCTGGGGCAGCCCTGTCGCTCACTTATAAAAGTGACCGGGCTGCTAATATTAAAATGGGCGGCACTTGGTCCCGATCCCCACTAGGATCTGCGGCTTCACGGCTGTCTGTCCTGGCGGAAGGGGCCTTGGACTCCACTACATTGCATATTAAAGGGCCGCATGCGCTAAGCGGGGAGGGAGAAAGAAACAGACAGTCCTGAGAAATTTGAAGCTGAGAGTGAGGGTGATACCCCCATTAATACAAATATTATTATTATTATTATGATATTTATAGAGCGCCGTCAAATTCCGCAGCGCTTTACAATGGGTGGACGAACAGACATGTAGTTGTAGCCAGACAAGTTGGACACACAGGAACAGAGGGGTTGAGGGCCCTGCTCAATGAGCTTACATGCTAGAGGGAGTGGGGTAAAATGACACAAAAAGGTAAGGATTGTATTAGACTAGTGACAGTTGCAGAAGAGGACAGTTGCAGAAGCACTCCTTAAAAAAACATTTTATTTAAAAGGCAACAGGGCCTCAACTCTTCTAGCATCTAAACTCTGACAAGAGAACGCTCAATCAAAATTATTTACTAAATGACCATGGGGATAAAAATTATACACCCTACCAAGATTAGTAACATGTTTGATGAATACTATAGGAGATTATACAACTTAAATTCTAGCAAAACAGGTTTCGGAAACTACAAAGCCAATAGAAGAAAAAATGTTACAATTTTTGTAAAAAATTGTGCTTCCTCGGATATCCATGGACACATTAAATAGCTTAGAACGTGATATATCGGCTGAAGAGATATCCGAGACAATTAAACTTATGCCATCGGGTAAAGCCCCAGGTCCCGATGTATTCACCATTTTATATTACAAAACCTTTACTAAGGTTCTCTTACCATAGATGGTAAAATTATTCAATTCATTCAAAATCGGAGGGGAGATGCCAGATGAGTCCCTTTGCGTGCTGATAGTCACTTTGCCAAAGCCAGACAAAACCCCAGATAAATGCTCAAACTTTAGGCCTATATCGCTAATCAATAATGATATGAAGATCTATGCAAAGTCCTTGCCATTAAACTAGCTAAAATTATTCCTGCCATAATTAATAGAGACCGAGTAGGCTTCGTACACGGCAGACAAGCTCCTGATGGAACTAGACGATTCATCAATCTAATTCAGCATATCAACTCTGCCAAGACGCCTTCTCTGCTCTTATCCTTAGATGCAGAGAAGGCTTTAAATACACTGGGGCTATCTATGGAAAACCTTGCAAAAATGTAATGTCTCACTATCTTTTATCGGAGCAATCTCTGCTCTATATGGTAACCCTACAGCCCATGTATCAGCTTCGGGTTTTAAATCAGGAACGTTCTCACTAACAAATGGTACTAGACAAGGATGTCCTTTATCCCCTTTGTTGTTTGTTCTAGCGACCCTTAACTGAATTAATAAGAGCAACGCATGAGATAGAGGGTATTAAAGTTGGGAATTCAATCCATAAAATAAGTCTGTTTGCGGATAATATTTTACTTGCTGTTCAGAATCTGACTTCATCTTTAACTTACTTACAAGAGATTCTAAAACAATTTAGTGATGTATCATACTATAAATTGAACATATCCAAGACTCAGGCCTTACCATTTCACATTAACCAATTAGACCTTGCTTTTTTTATAAAGAATGCACCCTTACGATTGGAGAGTAGACTATTTGGAATACTTGGGTATCAATTTGTGTAAAAATCTAAATAATATGTGTGGCGGAACAGACCTCGCCACATGTTCTTGGAGGGGGCTGCTTGCCCGCCTCCTACCTTCTGACTGTGGCCCTGGGATATATGGCATTTGAAAACACTATTTGTGCTCTGTGACAAAACTGGAGATTGTGCACAAATATGACTATTGTCCATATTTTTTATGATTCCCTTTGTTTGTTGCACTGTTCCCCATGTGTTTCATCTGTTGGTTCGGCTGGATAGACTACCAGACAAACTGTGGAGTTACTGGGTGGCCACCATTTCATGTATAAGAGGCACATGGTGAGAACAATGGATGAAGCACATGGTGAGAACAATGGATGGCGGCCATTTTAACTCACAGACACTGTTTTGACTTTTCTACACGGTGCCATCTCACTGGTATTTGGTGCACAAAGACATCATTCAGTAGTTTTAAACTTTTTTACAGCTCTTAAAGGTATTACGTATTGCACAAACCAATTTGAGACTCACTATAAGATTCTATATCGATGGTATCTTGCTCCCTCCCGGCTACACAATATGAATGATAGATACTCTGACCGGTGTTGGAGAGACTGTGGAGGTGTGGGTAATATGGCTCATGTTTGGTGTCTTTGCCCTAAATTGACTGAATACTGGAAAATAATTCATAGATTAATTCTGAAAGTGGACTCATCCATCAGTACTCTAACATCAGAATTAGCCTTATTTAAGCGATTCCCGGAGTCAATATCCAAAATAGATAAAATTATCATTGGCCTCATTTTAATTGCTGCCACATCTTGCTTACCACGTTACTGTAAATCACCTAATACCCCCACACTCAAATACATTTTTAATTTGGTTTTGGAAAACAAAATGCATGAAATGTGATATAGACAAAGTTCTAGTTTATTTGTACAACTTCAATCTAGTTGGGATCAATGGGAAAAGAACGTTAAACCTTCATATGGTATTTAATTGTCACACATCGTTCTAAATACATGTTACCCAATGGAATGTAGTTGCAACATTATGTTCATTATTATTATTGATTGACCCCTCTCCCCCCCCCCCCTTTTTTTCCCCAAGTTTCCCTTTCCTTTTCCTTTCCCCTAATATAGTATGTTTGCTATATATTATTTTTGTAATAAAACGTTAAAATTTCAATAAAAACTATTTGAAAAGAATCTAATAATTGCGGGAGAAAAAGGAGAAGCAGTTAACCGCTATTGGTTACTTTTCCTCACTTTATGGAGATATCTGTCTGTCTGTCGATCTATATCTATCTATATACACACAAGGACAAGAAAAACCTATTGTAGGTTATTACTGCTTTATATAGGTAAATACAAAGTACGAATCCAAAACCACAGTCAACACTTTCAGCAGAATATACTCCTACTGCCCACAATCACAGAGGAATGAGATATGCAATAAACAGGAGCACTGCTTGGGTCCTAAAGTATAATAGTGCCCTGCTTCTGTGGTGTACCTTCTGATTTTGTATTTTACAAAATAGTGTTATTCAGAGCATTCCATCACCTGCTGAGGGCATTAAGATTCTCCAGAAATATGGGGTCTGAAAGGTCTATGTGTTCCTCACTATGCACCTCTTTACACATGCTTTATCTGGAATGATCAAAGCAGCAGCTTAGCGTACTCAAACACACTTATGAAACTTTAAATAAATCTAATCCTATAAAGGAACTCTATTAAAAAAAAAGTATTAAACTAAGACAGAGAGCTTCACAAACTCCACATTCAAGTTTCTGAGCAACAGTTGGCCACATACACTACTGCTAGGGAAACAAAGCAGGCAAAGTTTAAACCAAGAGACTCCAGAAGCAATTTAAAACTAAAATACCTTATCTAATGGACAAAAATAATTCTAAGTTCCTTAACCCATTAGATATAGTTAACAAACTGGCATCCTGCTACCACTATTTATATAAACTCACACAGGATCCCTCTACACACCAAACTGACCTCCCTACCGTTCAAGCATTCCTACCATATTAGATGTCCAACTTCCTCAACTTACCCAACTCCAAATCAATGAGTAGGAAGCACCCTTTACTAAGAAGAACAGTACCAAAGCCATCTGCTCCTCAAAACAATTTTCTGGACCTGACATTTTTACCAATCAATGCTACTGTACCTTTGCTACTTCTCTGGTACTGTATCTCACCTACATCTTTAATACTTTTAAATGACTGTTCGGATATCACAGGCAAGTCTCCAGCTACAGGTTAAAATTTAGGCATGTCTCCTCATTGAACTCTAAAATCAAGCTATATGCTTAGGCATTGTACAACAGTTTATGCACAAGAGGCAGATTTCGTACCAATCAGACATCTCATACTACCAGGAAATACATGAACATTGTCGAAAATCTGAACAACAGATAGAAGTCCTTCCATTGGCATTAGATGAAGAAAGCATTCAATA